TAAGGCTAGAAATATTAACAATATGATAATTTCCAATCCAGAGATACATGTTTCAATGCAGTTCCTATTTTCCATAAAATATTTTGGTAAGAAGAATATTGTAAATGTGGATACAGTTCCACTATTCCTCCTCCATGCCACGATATAGTGTTATTAGCATGAACAGTTATAAATCCATTGTCTTCCTTACTCTAAATATTTTTAAATTTAAATTTATTATTAATTTCAGTAAAAATTTACAGAGGCTTTGGATATCCATTCATTCATTGTTGCACATTTCTCCCCTCCCAAGCCTCACCCCCCAGAACACTACCCTCTTGGAAAAGTAAAAAGAAAATTCTTTCATTGTTCTACAACCCTCCTCCAGGTCCACTCCACCATGTAGCCATTGCTCTAGACTCCTGTCATGACAGAAATACCTAATCACATATCTTTCAAACAGTTATCTCCTTTATCTGTTTCAGTGCAGTATACATTATTGAACCTATCTTCCTCAGTCTCTCCCCAACCCCAAAGTCAGTCCTCTTTTACAACAGTAGTACCATGCAATATTTGTTCTTTTGTGACTGGGATACTTCGTTCAGCATAGTGTTCTCCAGAGTCAACCATTTTGAATACTATTGAATGAGTTCCTTGTTTTTCGATGCAGCATAGTGTTCCATTGCTTCCACAGCTTCTCTATCCATTTGTTTGTTGATGGGTATATATCCCTTTTAAACAGTACTCTCCCTCATCTGTTAAAATGCAGTATATGTAATTTAACCCATCTTTCTCAGTCTCCCACCAACCCTGTTGTCAGTAGCATTTTATGACAATGGGACTACACAGTATTTGTCCTTTTGTGACAGAGATATTTCACTCAGCATAATGTCCTCCAAAGTCCCCCATTTTGTATAATATTTCATGAGTTCTTTTTTTATATAAGCAGTGGTGTATTCCATTGTATGAATATACCACAGCTTCTCTAGCCATTTGTTTGTTGATGGGCACTTGGGTTGTTTCAAACTCTTTGCTATTGTAAACAAAGCCACGATAAACATGAGTGTGCATTCTTTTTGTTTCTTGTAGTAATGTTTTGGAATTTTCTTTACGTAAATGCTTTGTTTTTTTTTTGTTAGATTTACTCCCACGTATTTAATCTTGTGATTAGTTATTGTGAAGGGTATTGTTTTTCTTAGCCCCAGTTGGGTATTCTCTTTGTCACTGTAGAGACATCCAATTGATTTTTTTGTATGTTGATCTTTTATCCTGCCACTTTGCTGAATTGTTCAACTATGTCCAGTAGTTTTCTTGCTGAGTCTTTAGGATTTTCTAAGTATACTATCATATCGTCTGCATAGAGAGATAATTTTATCTACTCTTTGACAACTTGTATACCTCTTATTTCTTTATTTTGCCTTAGTGCTGTCGCTAAGACTTCCAACACAGTATTTAATAGGAGAGGTGATAGCGGGCATCCTTGCCTAGTACTTGTTCTCAAGGGCAATGCCTTTAATCTCTCTCCATTGAAAACAATATTGGCTCTCAGGTTTACTTATATACTTTTTACTATGTTGAAGAAATTCCCCTCTAATCCTATTTTGTTGAATGTTTTAATAAGGAAAGGGTGTTGGATTTTGTCAAAGGCCTTTTCTGCATCAATTGATAGGATCATGTAGTTATTTTGCTTTGCTTTGTTAATGTGATGAATTACACTGATTGTTTTTCTTATGTTGAATCATCCTTGCATACCTGTTATGAATCCCACTTGGTCATGGTGAATAAGTTTTTTTGTATCGTTGGATTCAATTGGCCAGGATTTTGTTCAGAATTTTTGCATCTATCTTTATAAGAGATATTGGACTATAGTTTCCTATTTTGGTGGTGTCCTTTCATGGTTTTGATGTCAAGGATATGTTTGGGGTCATAGAAGAAGTCTGGAAGAATTCCATCTTTTTCTATTTTCTGAAATAGTTTATGTAGAATTAGTGACAGTTCTTCTCTGAATATTTGATAAAATTCACTTGTAAAATCATCTAATCCAGGGCTTTTTTTTGCTGGAAGTTGTATTACCTTTTCAATTTTTTCTTTTGTAATTAGTCTGTTCAGGTGTTCAATTTTGGTTTGTGTCAGTTTATGTAGGTTGTACATTTCTAAGTATTTGTCCATTTCTTCTAGGTTTTCATATTTGTTTGAGTATAGTTTTTCATAGAATTCTAATGTTAGCCTTTTTTATTTTAGTTGATTCTGTTGTGATGTTCCTAATTTCATCTCTTATTTGGATTATTTGTGTACTTTCCTTCTTTTCTTTTGTTAGTTTTGCAAGTGTTGTTTGTTTTTTTTAAGTGTTAAATGTAGTAGCATCAATAAAAATAAAGTACCTTCAACAATTATTTCTTCCATAAGAGCAATGAAACAAGTGGCAAAAAAATATAGAATCAACATTTTCAGAACTCTGAGAGTTAACTAAAGACTTACAGCAATCTGGGGAACACTTATTAAAGGGAAATGATTGGAGAGCAGTAGAACAGACTTGATGGCATTCGTCTTATATTATAAAGACGAAACTGAGGAGAACCTGAAGCACTTGATGCAGAAGGTCAAGAACTATCTCCTTCAATATGGGTTGAAGTTCAACATCAAGAAAAAAAAAGACTCTCACCACTGGGCCAATTGGCAGCATCATGATAGATAGTGAAAAGATTGAGATTGTTAACAGCGTTAGTTTGCTTGGCTCTACAATCAACACTCTTGGTACCAGGAGCCAGAAAATGAAAAGAGGAATTGCACTGGAAAGTTTGCTGTCAGAGACCTCTCCAAAGTAATGAAGAGCAACGATATCAGCCTGTAGACTAAGGTGCACCTGATACAGGCCCTGGTCTTTGCAATTATTTGCTATGCATCAGAGAGCTGGGCAATGATTAAGGAGGAGAGAAGGAGGTTGATGCCTTTGAGCTGTGGTGCTGGAGAAGATTATTGAGTATACCATGGACTGCTAAGAGAACAAACAAGTTTGTCCTGGAGAGGGTGAAGCCAGGCTATTCCTTTGAGGCAAGGATTCTGAAGCTCCATCTGACATACTTTAGGCATTTTGCAAGGAGGGACCAGTCCTTGGAGAGGAACATCATGCTTGGAAGGGTGGAAGGACAGTGCAAGAGAGGAAGACTCTCGATGAAATGGATTGATTCAGTAACTAGCGTAATGGGGGTAGGTGTGTCAAAGACGATAAGAATGGCACAGGGTAGAGCAGGGTTTAAGGCTATTGTACATATAGGGTCGCTATGAGTTGCAGACGACTCGACAACACATAACAAGAACAACAACATGCACATACCCTATTTCTTGCTAATTGGCAATGTTGAAAACACAGCTCACAATCATAGCAAAACCCAGCAGTGTAGCAGATTTGACCTGTTTTGTAATTTTCTCCACGACTCCACTTAAAAAAATATATTTGATTTTACTTGGGAATTTCAGAGTGTTTTTTTCTGGAGGAGTTTGTAAAAAATACTTAGAGGCAATTGTTTAACATCATAACTACCTGAATGTAGTGGCTAAATGCTGAAGGAAACAAAAACATTAATCAGTGGTCAAAAGGAAGAGGCCATAAATGGTATGCCCATAACAACAGCAGCCATTGGTGTTGATTCTTGCTTATGATTTACTCATGGTTTACTGAGTCGAACTTTTCCATAAGATTTTCTTAGCTCTAATCTTTACAAATGCATGTCATCAGGACTTCTCTTCCACTGTGCTAATGGATAATTTCAAACCACCAATCTTTAGGTTAAATTAAAAATATTCATGCCCCCAAGGACCTTGACCTTGTAAAGTAGCATCATATTCCTGGAAATCTAGAAGATCACACATATGTAATGGAGTGTAGACATGTCCAAGGTTGTATGCTTAGTCAGGAAAGATCTGAGAAGACCTTAAACTTTACCCTTGACGTACTGCAAAAGCAAGAGATGAAGATTAAGGCAGAGTTGTCACCTGCCTGGCTGAGTGTTGAAAGTATGTCACAAGGAACATATAGAGCCCCTTAGCAAAGATGAAACTGAACAAGCAGAGATTTCTGTGTCCATAAAGGATATAAGCTTTACAAAATTAATTGACAAAAGTGACTAAACAAGCAGTAAATACAAGAACAGATTACACAGTAAACAGCAACCATAAGCAACATTGGTAAGACAATCTGATTACCAGAACTGCTATAGTATATAAAGTGTTTCATTTCCAGCCAAAAAAAATGATGCATGCAATGAAATAAGATTGGTCCACACTCTGGGAAAAGAGTCATCAATAGGAACAATCTTAGAAGAAGCCTATTGTTCTTGTTTACCATCTAGTCAGAATTGACCCATAGCTGACCCTCCAGCAGATTTCCGGAGGCAATTGCTCCTCCAGGAGGAGATTTCCCATATTCTCCCTCGGGGCAGCTAGTGGATT